TGCATCAACTGCGTGTACATTTTGGCTTGAAACTGCGGAAGATGTGCAGCATTTACGCAAGAGATGTAAGTGGAGGGCACATCTGCTGCGACTTTTTGCCGAGATAAGTCGGAACCTAAAAACTGAAGTATTACTAAAAAACTAAAAAAGTCAACTTCTAAATATTGACTCTTTCACTTAATCAACTTTTCTCAAAACTTGATTTATTATTATCAGCAGACCTCCACTCTGTTTTCCGGCTGTGAGTAATCACTAACTTCCATTCTAAAAAACAACTTCCTTTGTTGTTTAAATGCCATCTTAATTACTGTACATTAAAATTTCAGACTGAGTGAGATGAATTTTTAAGACGAAAAAGGAAAAAAAAATCAGAATTCTCAGAAGAACCGGTCGACAAAAACAACATTTGGCGGAAACGAAAAAAAAGTCAGAAACTCAACGGAAGAAAAAAAAAATTCAAACACCAAAGAGACCGGTGCTGGTCCGTGGCAAAACCATCAAAGAGCAAAAATTGCGATTTTTTAAAATGTTTTTAGAGGAAAAATAAGTAAAAGTAGATCAGAGAATCTGGAAATCCAGACATTTCCTATAAAAGAGGAATAGAGTGCGATACAAACCAAAAATGACGAATGAGATTGGAAAGCTAGAGGAAGTAGATTTTTTATTCTGAGGATTAAGATGAGGAAGTTCAAAATCAAGAGTCAATTTTTGCAACTGGAATTTTATTTTTAAATTGTAGAATATCAGAACTTGCTCAAGTTTTTTTAAAGACTAGATGTTGATGTTATCAAGAACATGAAAGGTTTCTTCCATAAAACATGTCTATTAATTTCAAATTCACGGAGAGAACCACTTAGAGCAAAAGAAGGGAAGGAAATGAAGGACCTTTTGGGAGACGATGAAAGGTGTCTGTCCGTCCCAACGCGTGCCTCCGTGCTCTTTCTCTTTTCCTCTTCTGGAGAAGACGATTACCATTGAAATGCGGCGAGCCGAACAAACGAGCACGACGACAATGGTTGCCGTGACGACGTGTTGCTTACCCTTTTCATCTTTTATCTTTTTAATGAATTGTTCAATGAAATCACTGTTTTCTTGATCAGATCCAAAACCATAGGGAGCAAAGCAGACATTGAGATAAAGTACAAAATTAAAACAACTACTGGTAAGTTTCAGAGTCTTGTTCTGATAGTAAGATTTCGAAATATAAGTTTCGTAATGACTTTTAATAAATTAAAATATAAGTATAATGATAAGCTTACTATTAGCAGTTTTATAGACTAATAAAAAACACACACACATTCTCAATGAATGCTGTCAATAATTGTTACCACTGCTAGAATCTTGAATGCCATTATTTAAAAGTCACCTGTTCTCCAGTGACGATGTTCAATAATTGTTAGCTTTTGCTATGTGACTTTACCGGCGTCCGTCTTTCAAAAAAGAAAAACACTACTGCTTGTTTTTCAGACCCTCCCTAACATATTTACTTGAAATGGCTACTGATCTTTTTGAGTGATTCGTATTTTCAGTCATAAGACACATACTTCGGACCCGTTACCGGAGAAGAGAGAGGATTTGAAAAACAACAGGTGAAGTTAAACGAATTCGCATGATTCATTTTGAGCTATTTTTGGAGTAAGGATTGACTGAGAATCTGGATTCAAGTTGTCAAGAACTTTGTTCTACAGAACATCAAAGTCATAATCTCTCAAAATTTTTGGTTTCACTAAAGTGCTCCACAAAAAGATGCTTCCACCTTTCTTTTGTACTGGAACATCTATTTAGGACAATATTCATGAAAAGGTATCAGCATAAAAAAGATTTCTTTTCACAGAAAGATGTCTTTCAGAAAGGAGATTTTGCAGGTTTTTAAAGCTCTTAGGCAAGAACCTATTTGAAGCTCTGAATTCGAAAATCACAAAGATCCAAAACACGAAAACTTAATTCCGGACTTTAGATTTCCGAATTTCCGGATTCTGGAAACTGAAACAATTTCTGGGTTCAGAATTCCGGACTTTTTATTCTGAATTATGTGTACTGGATTTTGGAATATGTACGGCGGACTAAGTGTTCCGGATTCCGGACCCTGAATTCCGGATCGTGGATTTTTTTTCCTTGATTCTGGGTTAGCTTTGAATGAGTTCAAATGTCATGAGAATCTGAAATTCGAAAAAAAAAACGATAAAAATCAAGGAAGAATCTCCATGACGAAGACAATAGTCGGAATTTTCAGAATATTTCGGCTGGATACTTTGAAGATCTGACTCGAGCTTTTAGCAAATAGAGTATGAGCTCAAAACATCAAATTCTGGATATGTCGGGTTACAACAGATCGAAAAAGTATGCAGTGTATAGTAATGCTGATGAAGAAGTATTGGTATCAAACGCCTTCTCCTCCTTCATTTTTTTGTCTAAAGTTGTTTCATTTAAAATGCATGGATTTGAGAAAATGCATGTTTATCCTTTGTTTGTATTTCTTTTTTCGAAACGTCTTCTTTGTCTTAACACAAAAAAGCGATTACACAAAAGCTCGATTGTTTTCAAAAATGGAAAGAGGGCAAAAAAAAGAGAAAAAAGGAACTATTCACTAACCATTTTGGGGGGAGGAGAGGAAAGGAAAAAGGGGCATCTTGACAAGAATTTTCAGAAGGTTTTTGACAGAGCACATCGGAAAATACAAACACGGAGAGAGAAAGAATATAAATTATAAACATAGGGAATTTGTAGAAGACAGAAAAATGAATTTGAAGGGAAAGAAAATGCTACATATCACAAAATGTATGGATCATCAATGGGCGAGCGGGTGGAAAATTATATCGTTGGGCAATTGGAAGGAATTGAAAATGTGTGGCTTTATCACGGGGATTTATTGGTTCCAAAGGGAAGAAAATGGGGTCGGAGGGGATCTCAGTCTATACATATTATGGATGGTAGTGGACCCGCAAACGGGATTTCTTGTGACGTGGCATGTTAAGAAGGAAAATACTGATGAAACAGGGCGGCTAGAGAGTCAAAGGGAAAGAGATGTACAGAAAAATTACAAAAATTAAAGCATTTGAACAATCACAGGGCTGGAAATGAAATAATTATACTAGAAGTGCCACGTCACAAGAATGGTTAGTTGCCAATGACATCGTCAATCTCAGCTATCCCCATCGAAGGAACGACGATGGAAGATATGCAGAGATTCTTGCCGAAAGAGTCGGTGATGAGGATTCTTCCGGAAGTGGAGACGACGAAGTTGGCGAGGACTGAGATTCTCCGGCGCACCGTCAACTTGGAGATGATTCCTAGAGAAGTTGATAATAGAGTTAGGATCCTTCTCTTTATTGACTTACTCCTTCTTCTCCGATCTCGAGGATTTCTGGGTGTCTCTCGATGACTCGCATCAAGATTCCATTGATGTATACTCGAAGCTTCTGGTTGCAGATTTCTTGCTCACGGAGAGCATCCAAAAGTTGAGATGAATCTCCACCAGCAAGTTCGTCGGCCAGCGAAGGAGTATCAGCAATAAGAGATCTGGAATTGAATTTGGTACTCAAAGAAAAAAGTTACGAATTGACAAACCTTCCTCTTTCCACTGAAGTAGCCAACAGTTGATCAGCCATCTCCTCCTTTTCTCTCATCAATTCTGCTACTTTAGCTTTCAATGCATCCATTTCCTCATGCATATCTCCAATATGCTCAGACATACTTCCAGATCTTGGTCCATCCACTTTCCGTCTCAATTCCTCTGTTTCCATGGCCAATACTTCAACCATTTCACTACTAGAATCAATATCTTGTTGAGCTTCTTCCTTGAATTTCTTGAATTGTCTCTCCAATTGAATCCTTTCATCCTCCATTCCCTCAATCAGAAGTTGCGCTTCTTCCAACTTATTCTCTGTTTTTTCCAACTCATTTCGAACTCTTTTCGTCTCTTCATTCGATCTCTCAACATCCTTTTTGGCTGCATTCAAATCCTTTTCGAGCATTTGATATTTCAAATTCCAGCTTTCAGTTTCCAGTTCCTTTTCTCTTTTCAATCTTGAAATTGATTCAGTTCCTCGAGTTTTTTCATCGTTCAGAAGTTGTTTGAATCGGTCTTCGTTGTCGTCAACTGTTCTTCCAGATTGTGCATTCGTTCTTTCAGTACAGAGTTTTCAGTTTTCAGACGAGTCTTCTCATCCGAAAGACACATGTTACGCTCCTCGAGTTCCGAGTATCGTTTTGTGAATGTGTTGAATTGATTCATCTGAAAAATATATATGGAAAAATATATAGGTTTCCAGAAAAAAAATGGAGGAAAACTGACAAGTTCTAGTAAGCAAGCGTTTTCCATGATTATACGAAATGACGTATGATCATGTGGATGTGGGAAAAAACCGAGTGAACTCATTGAACTAGACAACATCCTATTTTTCTAGTTAGCAATTTTCGATATCAAGACAAATAAAGTTCTTTAGAGGAACTACGTATGCACTTATCGTATTTTCTCTATAAGCGAATCGGACAAGTGCACTTTGCGCTCAATAATCTCGGTTCCTATGAGAGCTATCAGAAATCTGTGAACTGAAAAAATTCTGGTAGTATTATGATGAATAATTGAACAGTTGAAAATTTTCCGATGTCATTCAAAGGAAGCGAGATAATTGATCTCAAAATTTAGGTGAAGGGTGGGCAAGCAAATACGGTAAATTAAACACGGTGGCGCTGATATCAGATCTGCCG